CCAAGAAGCATTTGACAGGCGAGAAAACCGTGCCACACGGCAGATTCGACGCCTCATAGTGACACAGTTCGAGGCTTGCAGAACGCCCAGGCGCGCGGAGACGGGCTTCAAGGGGCGAGGAGCACCAGCACTCTGCATAGAAACCACTGTGGGGGGTTGGAGATGCGATGTTCCGGCAGAGAAAACCTCCACACCAAAGGTGGTCCATGCGCAGCCCTGCCGCAGTCCATGTGCTGTGCAGGGTCGGTGGAACTGTTCGGGGATCTTGAGCACAGGTCTTTGCAAAGTCACCGTTGGGCAGATCCAATTTGTAAACATCACGCATGTTATAGTTTAATATATATCATTGTATTTATCAGTTTTTGTTAGTGCTGCAAGCGGCACTCCTTCACTTCAACATGTCATTGTGGTCCCTTTTCCATGCCACCGGCATAGCGTGTGTCGCACTGTGTGAGCCAAGGATCGGTTCCACCAGCGACGAGTCTTGGTAGTTATGGCCGACTGGTTTGGATTTGTTTGAGGGTCGCCACAGTGATTGAGTCCAAAACCACACCTGTTTGTGCATATGCTTCCCTAGAGCTCCAAGTACCTGCTCACATCTCTTCACGCCTTGCGTTCAGATTCTTGGAACCCTTGGATTTGTGTGTCATTTGATGCCCGATGGCTTGACTGGGATCCACCAGGTGTGGAGTTTTGTTGTCCTTCCGTGGTGGGCCGCTGGCCCTGTGCCTTTCTTTTTTGCCACTCCCTTGGATGCTGTCAGTGAAAAACTGGTATTCACTTTGGTATACAGACCCTTGGCCCCTTTGGTTCACAAGGGGATTGACGACTGAAACCCCCTTACGGATCTTGAAAGTGAAACCCTTAGCAGCAGATCTGTGCAGACACTGGTCCAACAGGGGCCATCCCCTGGTTCGCCATCACCTGGGTTTTGCTGATCCGGTGATGAACTGGGTGAAGCTCTATTGTGCAGGTCCTGTATGGTCATGTTAATCCAGATATATAATCCAGCTATTGCAATCAAAACCACAGCTCCATAGCATTCCATAGTTCCATCCCCTTTTTGCGGAGAAAATTGTGTGTTCCTTGTTCTTGGACAGCAAATGTAAGCAAGACGCCAAATTTTTTGGATGGGCAGTATATTGGAAAGTGGTTTAAGCGGTTCCTGGATAGCAAAATCCAAGATCCGATTTTGCACCAAGGACCCATACCTCTTCCGCACCTTCGTCCATGCGGCTCTCCCCAGTGGTGACTGCTTGGGCCATGTGGGAACGGAGCTGGTCTACGCAACAGAACCATGGCCGGTCTAAGGCGAAACGGAGCTCAGTGGACGATCCCTACGGGAGTAACATGGGTTGACAGCTGTTCCTTGAACACCCATGGATTTTGTGCAGGCTACTGGCCGGGCCATTTGTTTTTCTTTGCCTTATGTGTTTCTATGCCTGTGCTGCGTAATTGTGGATGTCCTGGGCAACTAAGTATGCAGGGAAGACACCTGTCACAGACAGGTGGAGATGAATCCCAAACCAATTTTCTATGTGGTCCTCTGGCAGGAACCAGCAAATGATTACTTTCCTGTTGCATCATGTCCATCCACTGGTTCCCACCAATTGGATCCATCCCAGCACCACTAAGAAGTGGGTGCCAAAAAGATTGGTTGCACGCTTAAACCTGGTTTTGCGGATCAGGTGATGGCTAATTTTCTCTATGGTTAAATCCCCAATCCTGGGGAATGGAATATGTTTCATGTTTGTCCACGTTCCTTAAGCAAGTCGAAGTAAACCGATGGTCAGAACCCGAGGTCTACCCAGCTGATTCCGACTTCATGAGTTGGTGGTGTCCAACAGCGACATCATCCTCGCAAACTGGACAATGCCCTTGATCTCAAATCTGTAATGTAGGATCATGTAGGCTCTTGATGAATCAATTTCACGGGATTGAACAACCTCTTCTACTACTACTAGGGGGGGGTTCATTGAACAACCTCTACTAGTACGGGATTGAACAACTACTACTAGAGGGGGGTCATTTATCAAGAGTTTACATTAGGGTCAACCATTAGCTGTGTTTTGTTGAAAGGCCAGCGATCAGGGGACCGGGACCGGACGCTCGATCGGTCGGACGCTGTGAGCGAGTTGAGCGAGTTGACGTAGCTTCGGACATGGGAGGTGTCGATTCAAATGGGGAGACCTCCCAACCAACGACCCCGGAAGAAGGAAAATAGACCAAAACCCTGAGTTGGAAGGTGGGGTTCTCCCCACACCCACTTGGCAGTCATGGACAGACGTTGAGGTGCTCGACCTTCCTCGCGGAAGTAGGCGAAGTAGGAGTACCTGGTTCCCCTTGGTTCCTGCTGCGGCCATCAAGGATCGCTCGGATCTGGAGCCGCTCGTCAAGCGGGTGTTTTCAGTGCGAGATGTTCGAAGACTACGACGTAGAAGAAGATGTATTCTGTTTCAGCGGAAATGTACTTTGTTTCATAGAGTCATAGAAGAAGAAGAAGAAGAACAACAAGAAGAAGAACAAGAAGAGGAAGAAGAACAAGAAGACGAAGAAGAAGAAGGTGTTCAGTGGAAGAAGATGTTAGACAAGGTACTTGGTTTCATATCTTGGAGAAGCGGATCACCTTCACGACCAACGTTTGGGTGATTGGGGACACCCCACTCAACATTGAACATGCAGTTTGGTTTGGGTTCACACCACTCCACATCTGTTCACACTACTGTTTTCCTCTGTTTTTTTGTTCTGCGAAAACCAAAGAAGTCAGGTTTGGTTTTGGGGTTCACGTGAACTCAACGACTCGGCGGCTTCTGCCGAGAGAGTGGATCCTCCCCAAACCCCCCCAACTCCGGTGGTGGACAGACGATGACAGACTCGACAACTGGTCCCTTACGCGATGGCAACGGTCCCTCCGGTCAGAAGGGCCGAAAGATTATACATGTCTTGGGTGTAGCTATGCATGTGATGTCTTGGGTGATTCCTTTGGGTCCTTACAGTCCTTGATGGCCGTTGCCATGGGCGTTTTTCGTTTGGGGCACCCATTTGAGTTGTGTGAATGGATCGCGACACATGAAACAGCTAGCTAGCTCAAGAGGCTCGTAGCCATGATAGGATGCTTCACCATTCCTCCGTGGGTCGCAGGATAGGACCCAGTGTGCAACCTTGCCATTTTGAGTACGCAGATGCAAAAAAAAACACATGTTTCATGTCCCATATGTTAAGATACATCCAGGCACGATCAAAGATGTTGATCCATTTCATGTAAAGTTTGTTTTATCCTCAAGATGCCATGTGAAGACTTATGTGGCCTAATGATGCAATGTAATCAGTGGTGTCCAATCAAAAGTTGTGATCATTGTGGGCTGAGTTTTGGAACATAATATGGCCCTGCGCTCAAAAAATTGAAGCATCTCGCTTCAAGGCTTTGGGAATCATGCTATTGGCTGATCTACCATTCTTGTCATGAATTGTGGTTCTGCATGAGGATCCAAAACTCAATGAACCGTTTGTTTCCCAAATCCTGGCCTGAAAGACCATCTGGTGGTTGAAGGAACCTCACAACTCAAAGCTGTGCAGGATCCTTCAGTGCTGCTTTCCCCAAAACTTGGCTTTGAGTACCCTGTGGATCAGACTTACTAAGACCTGTGCTGGTGCTGGCCATCAGGTCTCGTCTTAAAAGGTGCCCCTTCGAGCCGCAGAACCCACCTCTGACGTGTCGTCGAGTCACCCAATGTCAGTCGTCGACTCGCGACATGTCGTCGTCGACCGCTGGACCTATCGTGACCTTTTTCGTCACCTTTCGTGGCCCAAATGGAGCGCGCAAAGAGGAAGCTCGGCTCGGCTCTAGCTGCTCTTAGGCCGCCCTTCCAAGTGGAACCTGGTGAAGTGGGTCGTGGAGTGAACTCTGCAGGTTTGGCATTCGCCATCGCTTTGGCCGTGGAGCGCCCCAAAGCTCGTGGCCTGGTGAAGTGGGCACGGCTTGGCGGGCGCGTCAGGAGAGGTGAGAGATGGTGAAAGGGATTTAGAGAGTAATCCTAGACTCTTGGTAGACCCACCCCTTCAAATGAAATCATCTAGTGGGGATTTCATTCCAGGCCTGAAGAAGTTTTACAATCCATGCGACTGGGGATTTGAAATGAATCAAGACTCTATAGATGCGACCCCTTGGAACTTGGTCGAGTCGGAGTTTCTTGGAACGTCATGGACTGGTGTGGCTCGCCGAACATTGAGTCGGAACCAACCGGTCGGAACCAAGAAAAGAACTTGGAAAGGACAAAGGGACTTATATAGATCTTATAGGGACTTACTTGAAGAATGGAAACAATCATGGTTACGTAGTTATGGCACCACCACCACCTATCTAATAGATGATGTTTTTCTTCATCCGAACTCGGGGCCATGCCACTTCCAGCACCACGGGGATTTCGGGTGGTTCGGGTGGTTGGAGGGATCAGACATCGCACAGGGGTGTCTATCAACCACCCGAATTCCGTGGTGCGAGTACATGTGGCTTTTGCTCACCCGTACCTTGGTCACTTGCGATTCTTTGTCGGGGCCCGACTCGGTTGATCGATGGGTCGGTTGAGATTGGTGAAGTGATCGGTTTCACGACCGGGACGTAGCTCGCACCCTGGTTTGCAAGTTCCCGGGACATGTGTTTGTTATTGTTTATATTTTCTGGTGCATGATGGGACGATCATGATACAAATCATGATCATAATATGAATTGTGTGTATGATTGTGTATGTTTTTTCAAGCAAGAGCATAGAATCTTATCCTGTTCAACTCCTCAACCGCACCCATGGAAGAGCCCCCATCTCAAGAGCTTGGAGAAAGATCCAGCATGCCGCTGTGATCCTGCTCAGCCTTTGAACTTTTCCTGAAAGTGAGACCAGGACCTGGTTTTTCCAAGCGACCACTTATATCCTGGGCCAGGTTCTCTCAACATCATGCAATCCTTGAGCTCTTCGACTCCTCAAAAACAACAAAACATTGAAAAGGATACGTTTTAAGATGTTTTGACACGATTGGGGTCCATATAAACCACCGACCTTGGGGTAACAATCAACCACTAAGAATCCTTTGGTTCCTTCCACGATCAAATCTGTCGAGGTACGGGAGTTCCGGCTCCTTGGCCAAAGGCATTTGGTAGGAAGGAAGAAACAAAGACGTCACCTTTTTGGGCACCCAGATTCCCAATCTATGTTACATGTAAAACATTCTACTGTAATATGTTCTACTAGCAATGGCCTCCAACCTACTAGCGATCGGATAAGATGGGGTGTCCCAGAACATCACATCCACGGCCCCTGGATGGGACTAAAAAATCAAACCACTCCAGGAGTGACTCCTTTCCATGTGACTCCTGGGGAGGAAAGGAAGGAAGGAAGGAAGGAACACCATGTTGCGATGCGTCTTCGTCGATAATTGGGACCCCTCTATCGCCAACAATGCCATGTTGGGCAGAAAAAGGCTGGTGGGTGATGGGTGGAGACATGCCGACCCTGTACGACCGGTCTGGCCGCTGCTACATGGTGGGCCGGTCGGGTGAACATGGTGGGTTGAGCGACCCATCCCGTTTTGGACTGTTTTTAGATGTTTTGAGGTGCCCATTTAAAAGACTTGAACTTGACTAGGAGGACTTGAACTTAGAATGGTTTTGAGGTGACTTCACTGGACTTCGTCGGACTTGCGAAGTGCCTTTTGAAGTGCCTTTTGAGCCAAGGTCGACCACATTTTGTCCATAAGTAGCTGCTAGCAGGATTGAGGTTCCATGAGGTGCCAAAGAACCAGGTTGAGCTGGTTGTTTTGTGTGGACCAACTTTAGTTTCAGGTGTTGCTTCAATCTTAGCAACGATGCAATAGATTCTGGGATTGACAGCATAAACAATAGACAGAACAGCCCTGGTATATCAGCCTTGAGCCAAAGAAGGCGAAGAAACACACGTGTGTTTGTTGAGATTGGCCCTTTTGGCACCGAAAGAAAATTGCCGCGCCGCGCCAAGAAATCGCCCTGCCAAGCTGTTTACAGTGGCTTCAGAGTAGATAGCACAAACCTTAAAGATGTCTTTGGGTCATTGGGGGTCCATATAAACCACCGACATTGGGGAAACTCGTGCCATCTACTCTGAAACCACTGTATTACTGTATTTGCTTTGACATCGTTGGGACCCATCAGTCCACTGAGGAAGGGCGACATGAACCCGTGCGCTTCTGCGATGCTCGGTGCATGGAGATGGCGCACCGTCAAACTGAAAATGTTCAACGGGTCACTCAGGATTGTTAATGGTTGTTTGCATCGCTTATCATGGCGGCTTGAAAGACTGGATACCGAAATCAGCAAAAGGCTGGAATTCCACCAGAGGAGGTGTCCGGAACCCTTAAAACCCGTCCCGGATTCTTAGGGCCCGGTAGAGTTAGTTTAGCTTGAAGACCTTCACCCGGCAAGCATTCTGGCTGCTTCGATCACTTTTACACGCTTGTCCATGTCCTAAACAAATACCCCTGTTCCGTCAGTCACGTTGTCCTTTCTGCCAGCAGGTCTCCTATTTGCATGCCACCCATGTCTAGTAGCTACCGCCAAGGATGTGAGCCGCCGGATGATGAATGAGTGCCATACTGTGGATGATGCGCTGAACTTGCTGCAGCACATCCCTGCTGCTTGGATTGCCATCGACGACTTGCGCTGATTGACATCGATGGGCACACGAACAGAGTGTAGAATGACAACGTATGGCTGTCAGCCTTGGTGTTTGGGCGATTTTGTTGGAGGCTTTGGTGTACGTGTCTCCCGGTTTGGATGTCAACGCTCTAAACAAGTGCAGAAGAATTCTACAGCAATCATCGAGGCTTGAAGAAAACAGACGAGAACATTAGGATTTGCATAAAATCACAGAGACATACTATGGCCTGAGAGCAATCGACGGCATTAGTCCACTGCACGTAGGTTCCCGAGGAAAGCCTACAGGATTTGTTGGTCAAACTTTCCTTGACTGCGAGATGCAGGTTTGGTTTGGGCACCATCCACGAAGCCTGCACAGGGCAAGACGAGTTTCATAAGCCTTGATCGCAGCCAACCAACATGTTTTCGTGTGAAGGATGGCAGTCAAGTAAGCGGGTTTCAGGTCCATGTGTCATTCTTGCAAGTACTGGTTACCTACAACTGCCTACAACCTATCACTGTGTTCCCTGAAACATCCTTTTCTTTGGATCCACCTAAGCACGAAAATGTGTTTGGTCGACGCTGCGATTTGGAACAGGCCCATGATCAGCTCAATGTTGTACTAAATCAATGGTTAGACTTTTTGTGTGATGGGTTCCCCACTCTTGTATGGCTGGCGTTTCATTTGCAGTTGTCCCTCAGACATGTGATGGTGTCCATGTTTGCCGGCCAACTCATCTCATCTCTTGCTCATGCCCACTTTGCCCCTTTCCCATCTCTACATCTCCATCTCTAGACTCTAGACATTCAACCTTGCTCTTTTGGCTACACTTACAATTCCAAGGTGAGTGAACAATCCGTGGCTGACCTGGGAAACCTTCCAAAACAACCCCAGTGTAGCTAGCTTTAAAAAAAGAAATATCGGAATATATAATAATATATATATATATCATAAATTATCATACCATATCATAATATTATATCATATACTGTATCGAGGGTCGTCTATCCCTGTAGCAGCAGTTGTGTTGACTTGGTGTTGCAAACCTTTTCCAAGGCCATCACGCCAGCTTTTTCCGCTTCCTGGGCCGCAACTGGGGGGCGGAGACAGTCAGGTTCAGAATCACATATGGCACCATCCCATAGCATCACGCCATGCTTTGGTGGGGAGATGTGGAGACTTGAAATCACTCCTTCTTGGGAGTGGTGCGATCGGCTGTGCCGTAGACTTTGAAAATCAACATACCAGACGCAGAGAGCACCGATCAAGAGGCCAGATCCGAGGCCCAAGGCACGAACCTTGGGATTCACCACTAACAGGCACTCTTTGGCCTGTTTGTCCAAGAAACACGGTCTTTGGAATGCTTGGCGAAGTGAAGAAGGTCAGTGTTTCTGCCCAGTGGGGTCCAGTGTTTCAGCCGGCAGAGGATGCACCGTTATTGTTTTTGTTGGTGAGAAGTGGCTTCTTCGCTCGCTGTGTCTTTCCTTTTCCCGGGATCCGTGAGACACAGATTTACCATTCCTATGCATACCACTAGTCACTAGTCATCAGGGGTGCCCAGGATTGCCGGGCCATGGCACGGTTGCCGAAGGAGGCAGATTGTATTGACTTGAGGGTGCCCCCGATGTACCATGAGCCAAGAACCGGAACCCGGAAGGAGAAGGAGAAGGCGGCACAGTCTCGAGGTCTAGAGACTGTCACCTGGCACGGGGGAAGAAATACATCAACGACTTTCTCAAAATCTACAGACACTCAACGATTTAACAAAGAGACTTAAGTTGAGTGTCTCAATCTAGTTCAAAATCTAGAGAAAGAACCAATGGTTCAACCCGTTAACGATTTGTCAGGTGGGGAAGAACCAACACCTCAACCGGGGTCCTCGCCGGACCCACACGTGTCAGGTGATGCTCGCCGATGCAGAGGGGCATTTGGCTCAGGTCGAGGTGGGTGCCTATGGCACGGCCGTGCATGAGAGGTATTCCAAGGAGAAGGGTGATGGAAGAAGGGTGACGTGACTTCTGGACCTTTGGAACCTCTGGACCTCTGGAACCGAGTTTTAGACGAGTCCGTGCATGCGAAGCATAAACCGATGTCCTTAAGATGCCTATCAGATATATGGTAGGAGTCCTGGCTTAGTTGGATCAAGAAACATGTAATCACTGCAATCACTCAGTTGGATTCATAAGCTTTTCACCGATTCATGAGCTTTGCGGTACCTATTTTAAACTTGCAGCTTGGTCGCATCTCGCAGGGGGTATGAATGGTATGGGGGGTTCGTACCAGACCGAGGGCCGCCAAGCCTGGGGGGTAGGCAGTTGATGGCATACTAGGCATACTTTTTGTGAGCTGACACACCAGGAGAACCCTGGCGTGGCGATTGCAGCAGCCCGGATGTTATTTTAGCAGGTGGCTAGTGAATGAATCCACATGGGGCAGCCCACCGTGCAACAGTGGGTAAACTTTTGTCATTGTCTTTAGGCAAGAGTTTCGAAGACTGAGGCCAAGAGCTATTAAGTTATATTAAGTTCAGGACGTTGATTCTTGAAACATGTTGGATTTCGTGCTAGTCTTGGAGGCTCCCGGAGGCTCCCGGCACAGAATCTTTGGAGCAAACGGATCCGGGTCCCAGGAAACTCATGGAACCTGCAACAGGTGTGTACTTCTTCCAGCGGCCGGAGAAAAGAAAATCCAATGCACACACCCGACAGTGAATCCACGTGACGGCGCGAATGGACCGAATTGGACCCAGGCGGCGCGATTGGACGGCCCCGACCGGCGGACCGGACCGGTGCGAAGCTGTCAGACCTGATGAGGTCTGATCAGGTCGTAGTCATCGTTTGTTCGACCTCTAAGGGGTCAACAAGCAAGTAAACAACCTTTTTCCCCAAAGGCCGGGCTGGCCTGAACCATCATCATCGAACCGGGAATAGGATACACACAACCGAAAAACCCAGAAAGATCGAACGTGGTCAGTGGACATCCCTGGATCTATTTGTTCAGATGATTGGAACCCATCACCGGTCTGGCTTCAGAGCGCTCCAGGCTTCTCCGAAAGCGGAGACATACAAGCCGAGAAACGTGGGGAGATCGCAGACATACAAGCCGAGAAACAATCATTGTTGAGAGGACTATAGTGACTAGGTGTCCACTTAGGAGAACAGAGCGACTACTTTCCTAGTGGATATGATTGAATTGGGTGGATGTGTCCCTGAACAGGTGGCTTTTGGAACATGAACACCTGCCTCCAGTAGGAGAGTCAGCCCCGAACATTGCAGGTGAGCAATTTGCAAAGCATGTTTCGTCATTGCAGGTGACCCTCCACAAAGCATCCCTCATCCGCCCTGATTTGGCCCGGAACGTGTGGGAACCTTCTTTGTCCTTCAGCCTCCAAAACCTACCTCAGTGTTTTTTTGAGGCTTCGTATCTTTCATTATCTTTAAACCAATCTCAAAGCTGCTGTTTCAATCGATGAGGTGAACTGCTACCAGTCCAAAGAGCTCAATGGTAACTTGGCATCCAGCTCGTGGAGTTGAAGGGTCCCGGGCAGGGAAGGGTGCCAAAGCGCGTGCGAAAGAGGGTGCCAGTGAGGATGGAGGAATGGAGGAATGTCCAAGCTGGAATCTTGAATGGCCAAGCTGGACATTGGAACATATTGGAAATGGCTCCATTCTTGGTGTACATCAAAGTGTGTATTTCATCCTCAGAGAGTTGCATTTCCATGTAGTTATTCTATGTTATTCTTGTTTGATGATCGCACCTTTGTGAAACCCTTGCCCTTTACAGTGGGTGGAACAGGCCGAGTCAGTTGGCAGGACAAGACATAAAACAAGAGTTTTTGAAGCTTCAAAGTTAGGAGTAGGATGGAGTAGGAAAGATAGGAGCCTGACCAAAAACTGATGCTCCATTCTACACTTGGTTACGTATGCTCCATGTGACGTGGCGGGGCAGGTTTTGGCTCTTCGGACCCAGGGGTTCCGGGGGTTTTCCCGTTCACCCGAATTGGACGGTGGGATGTCAAGGATCGGATGTGCTCCGGACTCGCCAGGTTTCAACCTTCCTGAAGCCGAGCTTCATGCGACCCAGACGCTTGCCACCACCGATTTTGAGTCACTGATGGAGTCACTGATTTGGAGTCTGCATTGATTTGAAGAACCAAACAGGAGAGACCAGATGAGACCAGGGCCTCCCAGTTCGGAGGGTTTTTGGATGGACAACAGATTAATGTAGACTCTTGATCTGATGAATAATCCCCCCTACATAAGATTTCATGCTCCAAATCGCGGGTGATTGATCGAGAGTCTGATGAACAGAACCCAGGGCTCAGTTCGTGAGATTCGACTCCACTCAGAGCGCCTCACATGAGGATTTGCATGATTCTGAAAGATGTTGGGAAGCTGAGATGTGCCGGCTCCTTCAAAGATTTCAAAGCGATCATGTTGGCCCATCCAGTGAACTTTTATAGGCCGTTCTTTGACCTCGATTTTTGGATATTAGAATCAAAGAGATTCAAAGAGGTGCTCAGTACTGATGTTTCTTGAATGTCCAATTTTGATGTAAGAACGATACACTCCAATGTTCAGATGAGCTGGGCTCATTTGGCTTGGTTTTCCTTCGGAAGTCTTTGAAAAAGGCACGTGACCATATATGTGGCCAGTTGGTGGTTCTTTGCAGGATACGATCCGAGACGAGCCGTTTTCTGGAACGGATTCTCTGTGATGGACGATCGAGGACATTTTTCTCCCAGACACGACCTGTTTGGGACTGCCGGACTGGCGGAGACTGGGCCAGGGGTGAGCTAGGGTCAATGAATATATAGGCAGGTAAAGATGTATAAAGATGCCAGTCCCATGGAGTGTTTGGGTTTGTTGTACCGATCGACATGCAATCCGCCACAAAAGGGGTCGTAGCTCTTCAACAACTTCATTGGTAGGAGCTCTTTTCAGGTTGAACGATGGTCGATCACCGGTCGTATTCCCGTTAAAGGGCTGAAGCCTTCCGCTTCACTCCTGAACCAGGTCTTCGCGTCCGAGCCCAGCCATCGACACGACCTGTTTGGGTATGATTTACATATTTTACGGCGTGGTTCCAATACTCAATGTAGGCAAAAAGAAGGGAAGCAACCAAACTGTGGTGTGTTTGTATTGGCTGGAGCAGGAGGTGGCTGCCATGGGGTACGGCCCAAAAAATGGAGTGTTTGGGGTTGTCTGAGGAACAATAATGGATGCCGAAGCTCAAGAGGCTGGGACTTGGTTCAAGAGCAGATGAAGCAGGGCAAACTGTTGGACACCTGGGCTGCAGTCGTGTCGGTTTGTCTGTGCCGTACTGTTTGGAGTTGTTTGTCATTGTTTATGCTTTTTCATTTGTTTGTTCCCCTATTTGGGTTGCTGTTGATCTTCAGGATGTTCATCAGGTAAATGCATGGTACCACTGCCTAAAAAGACGCTAAAATTCTCTGCTCACTTGATCGCTTTGATCTCCGCGTTCGCTCTTGAGGATGTCAGCACCTTCCGAGACATCTTGTCAGATCACGAGCATCGAGACAGGGATCCTGCAGAGAATCCCTTGCTCAAGTGGTGGGGCTACAGCCGCTCGGGACGTCCGCGGTGTCACGTCACGTCGCCCCGGCGGAACGTTGGTGTCAACGGCTTCGTGCGTCCCGTGATGTTCCCAACGCCTGTGATTTGCCCTGAGTTGGGAAGCTTTGGTGTCAAAGCATGGAAGAAATCACTTCTTCGCTTCGTGAATTGTTGGGGATTTAGAGTGGACCTTGGCAAGGCAGCGGCCAACGAAGCCTTTGGGACTTTGGGTTGATTGGCTACACAAATACACAGTGTTGCCTAGTTTTGCCTTTTCGACGCTTTCCAAGACAACCTACAACCACGCCGCACACAGTAGAGTTATAGTGTTGGCCAGTGTGTATCTGTTTGCGTTGAAAGAGTCCGTCATTCAACGGAGTGGCCGTGAACCCGTGCCTGCGAAAAAGGTATTTGCAATCATGGAACTCGGAAGCAGGACGCTTATGAGACTTGGCATTACAGAATCCCAAATAGTTTGCCACGCAAGTTCTTGAAGGTACAAACATGACTAAGGAACCAGGGATTCTAGGTCTATGGTGTTAGTCTTTGAAACCACTGCTTACCAGCTATATATAGTGATAACTGGATGCCCTGGGCAAGGTGAACTCACCTGTTTTTTCTTGGGTCGCGACCCACCTGGAGCCCCCGCTTCTGCACGTAGCGAGCAACGAACGGCAGAACCGACACCAGCGGAACCGGTCGGTCTCCCGCAGATGCCATGACCCATGAGCCATGTTGTTGGGTGGTATTTCGGTGTAAAAGAAAAACAACAAAACAACAAACATCCCGCTTCCGCATGTTGGAAAACCACGGTCCACCCGACGTTTTTGTTGGAAAACTGCTCACCTTCCCCTTAAGGAAGCAGATGCGGCACCTTGGGGAACCGTGCCTCGGTGTGACCCAGACACGGGACTCCGTGGGACAAAGAAGCACAACCCAGATATGGATAAACATTGACCCCAGCCCGATGTATATGTAAATGTTCCAGTATATTCCAGTCTCATCGAGCGTTTGGGAAAGTTTTACAGGAAAATGGAAAGGAGACAGGGAGTGCGAAGGGGTACGAAGCGACGGTTCCAGGGTTCCAGTTTCTGGAATTCGCTGAGGTCGGTCGCTTGGGTGGAGGCTCCACAGAGTCGGGAAAAAAGGCATTTGCTGGAGGTTCAAAAGCCACAGCGAGGTCGACGAATGACCAGAGTAAAGCTCTCGAACAACACTGAAATTGCTGCCCGCTTTTCAGTCTAGGTCAGTGCTGAAGTCCTGGAGCCAGCGAAGAAGCTCTTGCACTACAACTATGGCCGCTACGGCGGCATCCAAGCATGGTGACCCCAACTGCCCAGTAACCTCCAGCCACCTTGATGGTAAAGTCCACCACGACCGCCCACCACTGGAGAGGTCCAGGGGGCAGGCCGTGTACTGCAGGCCGTCATGGCTCTGGTGGAGCAAACTGCTGCTCAACTGTGTCGTACCTCTTGTGAAAGTACTTGTCCGTTGTATTCACGGTTTAGTGAATGCTGTGAATTCTCACCAACCCTGGGCCAACCGAGTCTCGCCTGGAGTCGGTCGCTACGGATTTGGATTGGGGGCGGGTTGCCCTGGCAGTGCCAACAAACATGCGTCCAGGTGCCCACTTCGGGGCAGTCGTAACATTGCTTAGCAATGTCAGTGGGTGGGATTTTGAAAGTCATGATGGCATGGTGTGCTTTGCTAATGACCCCACCGGTCATAATGCTAAAGTGGTGTGTGCTAGGTTGCGCTGCCGTGCGCGCTGCTTGTACGCGCTTTTCATTGTAAGGCGGTGGCTGTGCTTCAGTGGCATCGACACGGGTGGAGGTGGCCCATGCCTGCTATTGCGAGTAGTCCGCCATGCTTCGCGGAGCTTGTGTGAATGTAGTGCAGGTGGATCATGTGCAATGTCCGCCGTGTCTGCTTGGTTTTGGGGGCTGTTTGGTGGGCCTCGAATGGTGAGGTGTGTGAGGTCATGCTGCCAAGTGCAAGCCGTGCTAGTGTCGGGTGTCCAGCCCTGGTTAGTGTACCATTGGGCCAGGTTGTGCTCGAGGGATGTGGGTGGTGGTGCAGTGGAAGGTTGGATGCGTGTGTGGTAAGTGTTGGCCAGTTGGTAGCCAGCCATCAATGCAATGTCTGTGTTATGGCCGGTGAAGATGCGTGCGCTCGGTCACAAGTTGAAGGTGTGCCGAGGGCGTTGTAGCAGTCGGTGCGAAGCTTGGAGCAACCAACCACCCCCTATTGGGTTTTGAGATGCGAGGCTAGATGATATGGACATGTACCACTGAGTAACTATCAATTGCCTAGAACCATCTAGAACCTCAAAAAGCTGGGCCGTGCTCGCGGACAGCATTCTCAAGATACATCACGTCACTTTTGACTCTTGATCATTTATGAGCATTTATAGCTCACAAAGGGGTGCCTATTGGAGGATAGGGGTGTCCATTATCCACTCACTTAGGGACTAAAAACCACCCCTTTGTGACTCCTGATGTATATATATATATTATATATATACAGTCATGTGTAGCACGTTCAACTCTGGTCGCATGCACTGTAGTCAAAACCAATTACTACCCAGATGATCCATGTATATGTTCGCCTACACAAAGCGACTGATGGTTTTTGTGGTGAAGGTTTGGGGTCATAGGGCTACCTACCACGATCGTCTAGGTCATGTTTACAAAGGGCTTGTCATTGTCATCGTCATCAATGTCATCAATGGGGTCCAGATGCTCTGGGAATTGAAGAGATCCACGCTTCTAGACCTACAGCCGCCCCCCCTTTCTGGTGGAAAAAGATCACGATGTGCCTCAGACCTCACCACGGTGAACGTCTTGTGAACGTCATCGCACCCATCATCCCAGGATCCGACGGGGGGGGCGTTTAAGCACTCGCCCAGTACTCCGGAGCACTGAAGACATCCCCTTCCAGGCTGGGCCTGTGGGGAAGGCGCCGAGTTCCAGGATCAGCTCTTTCAGACGCTCGGCGTTTTTTAGATGAAGACGAAGCGGACGGCGCGGTACCACCGGTGTTCTCGTCAGGACGAGCCGCGGGTTTGGAGGGCTCACCCCACACAGAAAGTGGGGTCATAGAAGGTAAGACCCGCAGAGTCGGTATGTGGTGCAGCTCCTTCAATTGGGGTGAAGGTGGAGCTCTTCAAAGGCAGAATCAAATCTGCACGGGACCTTCCGGTCAGCAAGAAGGCCCAGTCTGAGCAAGTCATTAAGAAGGTTTCCGGTATGCTGTTGTAGCCACACCAAGGGGGTAAGAAGTTCTCAGGCTTTTGTATGGAGACTATACTCCCTAAACTCTAAACCCTTCTTTGAGCTGTCCAGTTTGGCCCTGACCTGTCCTGCGTTTGGGAGACGCATGACATCGATCGCACCTTTGATGTGCCTTTGATGACGTTTTTTGCTGGAGCACGGCCAACAAAACAGATAGATAGACCAAGCCCAGGTTCGAAAACCAAAAAAAGGATACTGTGCGCCAGTGGGAAATGATCCCTAACCCAGACCATCCATCCATCTAGACCTACATTGACCCGTTTTCAACCACCCTGGCCCAGTCTCGGTTTCCATCTGCCAGTCCCATGAAGTTTTTGTGGGTCGATTCGACCAGGCCAATCAGCCCAAACAAAGAGACCCTCATCAATCCGTCATACCCTAAGACTCACCTTCCATGGGAGTGGAACATGTTCACCCATGGAAACTCTATACCAGCACCTGACTCTACAGGTCATGAAACTTGCTACGACTTTTAAGTCTGCCAAAGCCACCATTTCGGAGACCTCTACAGTCGGGGTCCTGGTCTTTCTCGCTTCCAGGCATCACGGTCCGGTCCGTGATGCCCGGTCTTCCCCACATCGAGTGAGCGCACCGGAGTCGCGCCAGGAGTCACTCCTGGAGTCACTTCGCGTCCTTCCGCTCTCCCAGCGCGGGGGAGCACACCGGCCGTGGCGGTGGACGCCCCGTGGCCTGTACCACGGTGAAGGGTGAGCTCTTGGACGCCCTGGCGAGGTTGACGGGGCGGGGCCGGTGGGGGTGGTGGTTGAAAAAATGAGCGGCCCAAGGGATAACAGTAAATAGTAAATAGGATTAAATGACAGAGGTCCTGTAAACAAAAAGGGAGTTCGCTATGGTTTTGGTGCTCACAAGTTTGTTTTCTTGTGGTTGTGTGGTTGGCTTTAGTAGGCTTAGGCTTAGGCGTTTAGGTGAAACTAAGTTAAGCTAATTGGTGCTGAAAATGATGGAGAGGGTCCCGGCAGCCAACAAGGGGTCGCGATTGTCGATGTCCTTTCAAGCAGGAGATGTTTGGTGATCCCTTTGTTTTGAAGAATTTGCTTCCAGATTTAAAAAATGACCGTTTGTCAATCAATGAGCGTCTCAGTGTTCAAAGATTGGCCTTCGTTCACGAATCGCCCTCGAGTTCGACAGTTCCGCATGAATTCAGGAAAACCATCTAAGAAAAAAGACAGAAAAAAAGACACCTGGGTCAAGCAGGTCAGACGCATTCTGGGTCTTTGAAGGTCACCTTTTTTGTGTCACCGAGCAGTTGCACGAGCCAGGCAGAGGCCTCCCAGTTCTTGTGCACCGCCTTCTGAGATGCCGAGGCAACCCGTTGAGACGCCGTTTCGCAGAACGAGGGGCTTCACGGCGCCACGTCGAGTGGCTTTCACCGATGCATTTTGCACCAAAGCATTCGGAAAAAAGAATAAGTGTTCATATGTTTTCGTGAGGATGCTGGCATATGGTCTACATAAGATATTCCAATGGGGCATAATGGGGCATTGATTCAATTTGTGCAGTGTTTTTTTTTCTGCCTTTCGTAGTTGTGTTGGTATTGTTTTCGCCTCATTGTCATGGTCGAGTTTGACTGACTCTTCGTTTTGTATTCATCCGGTGGACAATGCCTTGGTGATGTTTGCAGGTGCACCTGCAGCAATTCAAGTGCCCTTTTCGTGCTCCCGGGGTAACGCCTGACACGAAAGCCGGCGAATTCTCTCCCCATCGCTTCCAAAGCAAGCGAAGCAACAAGTTTTGGGAGAGACCTTGTAGAGTGCAAGGAAGAACCGCTGGTGTCAAAAAAACTCGATGGCTTCTTTCAATAATGTTGTCAATGATATTATCATGATATATTATCAACCCTTTTTGGGGCGTTAGTTAAGGGAGTCTCGTGAAACCAAACAGCCATTCAAAAGCTCTTGGTTTTTTGACACGGTTCTCTCAGTGTTTCAGGAGTTGGCGCCCTGATGTACAGTGCCTGGCAAAAAGGCGCAGACCGCTAGACTCCACGAGCAGCTTGCGGTCCGCTTCTTCGACTGGGGGATGAGCACACGAGCGGCTTTGTTGAACAGCATCAAGCCATTGACTGACCGCGGCACTTGTAAAAGCACTGAAGTGTAGCAAGTCACTACCGTGTTTCAGGCGAACAATATATATGTGTGTGCTTTTCTCCTGAAGGGAAAAGTGTCCATCCAGACACATTCCTTTAGGGCAGACCCTTTGAAAGTGCAATGAAGGTGTCATATACTGTATCCCTTTGAATCCCTTTGACTTAGTGACTTAGATGTTATACTGTTATATATTTGAGTTTCAGGCCACTGTGATCATGCGAAACCTCTTTGATATCCATTCTTCGCTGACAAAATAACTTGCGGATACTTGCAGTATGTGTAGTTGTAACCCTGACACCACTCCCCATGTAGATAAGAACTGAACTCCCTTGAGAAACCCTAAAGCATGATTTGGAAGCTGTTCTCGTTCAATTTAAAGTATATTCTGCGGTACCACAGCGTTCAGCGCTGAACATGACAAGTTTTCAATCACTGCTAGTTGGTCCATCCCAATTTTATATACTAAGGAGTTTCCAATGTGAGGTTTGTGAAATGTGTGGGAAATACCATGGCCTGTTTTGAGGTAGGTTGCCAACGCTTGCTCTGGCATTATGGCATATTATGGCACAATCCCTAATGCCGGTGGTTTATGGCTCCCATCTAAAGACATCTTGGGTCTTTGAAATCACTGTATGTTTGCTGTGCCGGTGAATCGATTTGCGATTTACCAGAGCGAATTGAGTCGAATCCGCTATTGTAAAGAAGTACTTTTGAGGGGGTCCAGTCAAGGTCTCTGGAAACACATAGTATATATCATATGTCTTTCTTGGTGGCCTCAGTCTGCAAACGAAGTTATAATGAAGTGCACATACGTGCACATAAGCACATAATCAGACTGCAAAAGAAGAAGGCAAGCATCTGGTGATTCTATTGTGGGATTCTTTTCATGTCAAGAAGACTTCTGCATGAAGGAAGACGGTCGACGCTCGTCGCGCGACGGACCACGTGGATGGGAGTCGAATCGGGAGTTCCCCGATTCGCCGATGGGCAGGGGGCGAACACTCGCCAGCCTGCTCCTTCTCGCCATTGCAGGTCCGACATCGAGGGTTTTGGGGGGGGGGTCGCGAGGGGTTTTGAGATGGAAAGATAGGGAGGGGCAGTGGTCAGCAGAGGTTCTGGCCAGTGCACAAGATCGTGTCTAGTGTGTTTTTGGCTGGCATAGTATATCAAACATATAAATATGCATAAATAGGTGTATATATATAATATAAATTAAGGGACCCCCACAGATTTTGGCCGGCCTTTTCTCAGCATGACAATGACTTCTACAATATGAATGAAGAGTTGGCTGAACCTTTTCTGTTTTTCTGTCCATTGGTTTGTCCGTCGTAAGCGGAGACCGTGTGCCGTTTTCTCAACCACTTGGAAGCCGAAGACCTGGGTCAAACCAGCTGTTTGGCTTTCGAAGGTTCATGAGAAGATGGGATCTCTGGGGGGCTCCATGGCTGTCAGCTGAAGAGACTGAGTCCTAGCTGACTGCTGAAACTCCACTGGTGCGCCAGGCAGTCTGGCATTCCGCAGAACTGATGTTAAACAGAACTTGAAACAGACTGAAGACTTGGACACTTGATCCGTTCCAATTTCCAACTGACCCATTGAGCCTTTGAAGCTTCTTGTGGCCATGATGCAGACTTGTTGAACTTTGCACTACGACATGGGGTATCCGATGATCTTTATGAAGGAAAGTCAGGCTTTGACTGACACATGGGGGGGTTCATTTTACAGAGAAACCATCTTGCTGGCATCACCCCTTGCATACCCGGACTCTCCCTATGTTGCTTCTGTCCCCATGTCCTGGCATCAAACATGCAGACCTTTGCAGAGTCCAGGGACCTCATGTCAGACGACATGTCGCGTGCGTTATATGTTTTTAGAGCACAGAGTGGATACTCGGATGAAGCAACAAGAACAGTGATTCTTTGGATAAGTGGTTCATCCAACTGCTTCGTGGTTGTATATTATTGCTTTAAGCTTCTGGATTCTACAGTCTTCTTGGGGAGTGGTTCGTTGGATGAACGATGCAACTGTGGACCACATGGACCGCGTTTTATATTCCACATGGACCACATGTTTTGTGTTTCCGGTGCTTAACGGATGATTGATCTCAGGAGCGTTCGGACGCTACGAGTATAGGGGCTCCTGGCCTTACTAGGAGCGTTCGGACGCTACTATGGGGCTCATTCTCTTGCTACAAAATGTTTACTGTACTTTATTCCAGGAGCACCCCCCCGAATGTCATACGGAGATCAGGAAACCGTTTGAACCCCCAAAACCATGGGTTTCCTGTAGATGTTCCATTCAACCCATTCTGGGAATCGTTACTATTGACACGGCGCACAAAAACCACGCACAACCTTTGGCAGAGGTCGCGCGTGGCTTGGGTGTCCACCAGTGCGGGGGCTCGGAGGAGACGAAGAGCCGTCACCCGGAAGCAACGCCCATTTCTTGAGACGCCATTTCATGATGCATGTTGCCGGTCAGACGGTGGTTTCTTGAATGAGGTTGCTACTTGGGTCACCGAATCTCACCAATCCGGCTCTGATCCATCCCAAAGCCATGGAAAGGGCAAGTGCAGGTCCCTTCCAAACAGCTGCTGGTCCATCCACACTCCGTGTCCAGGTTCTGCATGGATTTGAAGCCCCCTGGAGGGTAGTCCCCGGTGGGTCCTAGAGCTCGGTGGGGTCGGAGCAAGCGAGCTTGGCTGGGCTGCAAGCTTGGTACCAAAGGATCACGTCTGGGGTCTGTTTGGGTAAAGCTTCGTATTGTTTTGCCATGATATACGACTCATCATCATCATCATCATCATCATCATCATCATCATCATCATCATCATCATCATCATCATCATCATCATCATCATCATCAT